AGTGCCTCCGGAACCGTGTTGGAGGACAGGTGTGGCGAGGAAGGAGAGGCTCTACTTGTGAGGAGAGGAGGCTCTACTTCTGTTTCAGAGATTGGCTGTGGGTTGGGGGGAAAGGTGGGGGAGGGCCCCCATGGCGAATAACAGATTGCAAATGATTACAGTAATCAGAATATTTCTAAAAGTAAAAACAGGTTCTGATAGAACTGAGAGACTCAGAAAGAGGGAAAGACATTCTGTGAATCAGGTGGGCAGTAGCATTTCTTTAAGAAAAATTGGAGGGTTATTAAAAGGCAAATCTGGCTTAAGCTCTACAAGGCAGCTCACTGGTTTTCTTCTGACTCTTTTCTCTCTTTCACTCCTTATCGCAGGACCTTTTCTGTTCTCATTAACACCTCCACCAGAGTTGGAGCTTGGGAACAGAAAGGAGGTGTTGAGACATGTGCCTATTTGCATGCTCGCTCTCTTGAGTTAATCCCGGGACAGCACATTCTATCCAGTTCCATAGAAAAGCCAGTTTCACCCCATCAGTAAGGTATTATTTTCTTTTTTAGCCTAGAACAGCTTATTGCCAAGCTTCTCTTAACTGTACATTACAAATAGCGTCTGATTAAGAATGTTCTGGATGGGTTAATTAGTGTGGTGACTATTATTAAGCAAACTGCTTGTTAGTATTATGCCTATTTGATCTTGGTATTGATGTGAAGTAATTGACCATAGAGCTACATTTAGAAAAGCTGGAATAAAGTTTTTTGATTTCTATTATGGCAATAAATTGTTTATATTAAACATGTCTATGAAAATATGAGTTTCATGGCACAGAGAATCCGAATAGACTCTGTGTGGGATGGTAGATGAGGATTGTTTTGTTTTGTCGTTTTGTTTTGTTTTTTAGAAATATTCCTACACTTGTCCAGCTCGCCTCACAGCCAGCGCTGCTACAACAAAGTGGCAAAAAGTTATTTCCGCTCGCTCCTGCAGAGTATATGGAGAGTAAAGGGGTTTTAACTTCACCTCACCTAAAGAACATATTTCCTTTTTGGTTTAGCTAACTGCCTGAATACTTATCTGGGTAACAATCACTGTATATAAACAGACTACTAAAGAAAAATATGGGGAGATATTCTAAGCAAGGAAAGCATAGCATGTAACCACCTTCTTTCAAACACCGGATTATTATCTATATTATTTATTGGTATTTTGTCCAGTCCTATTATGAAGTTTCCCTCACTATACCATTTCCATAGAGAATTTATTCAGTGAGCTAATAAATTATGCCATCAGGGAGTTTTTCTTGAAATTCAGCTTAAATTTTCCCATTCTTAATTTCATCTCATTACTTCTAGTTATACCTCCTTGTACCGGCTAAATAATTATTCTCTTTCCTCGGAGACTCCTATTATGGACCCCTCTACTTGTCACTTAACCAGGCTATTCATATTTAGCTCCTTTAATCTGTCCTCATAAATCAATTCTTCCATTGCCTTAATCATTATTATTGCTCTTCTAAGAACTCTCTAATTTTCAAAGATATACAGTTACAGGTGCCCCGAATGAAATCAGCATTTGCACGGCTCTCTCCCCAGACTTGCTGTCTTCCTTTTCCGTATGAGACGCTGCATTACAGAGTGGCATTGGTTTGCTGGTCAACCCAGCACAGGCTTCTCTGGTCAAACTCTAGACAATCTCAACAGTGTTTTCCATATGTCCTACTAGCATTCGGTTTTGTTTTGTTTTGTTTTGTTTTGTTTTTTATTTCATAACATTAGTAAGCTGAGTTTTTGCTTACTGTCCATATTTATGTTCTGCCTCTTTCCCTGTCCCCATTGACCACCACTGATCAAGTCAGCCATCCACAGCCTGTGTTAACAGGGGATCTTCTTCATCCTCGCCAACATTTATTTTTTTTATTTTTAATTTTTTAAAGATTTTATTTATTTATTTATTTATTTGACAGACAGAGATCACAAGTAGGCAGAGAGGCAGGCAGAGAGAGAGGGGAAGGTAGGCTCCCTGCTGAGCAGAGAGCCCAATGTGAGGCTCGATCCTAGGACTCTGGGATCATGACCTGAGCTGAAGGCAGAGGCTTTAACCCACTGAGCCACTCAGGTGCCCCTCCCATTCCTTTTAATTTGCAATTTTGCTCACATGCTGGCCAACATAAATGGATTTTAAGAGTAAGATGGGTCATGATACTGTTTTCTAACATAAAGTTATGTTGTTGCAGTGCCCGCTGAATTTTTTTTTAAACGTAAATCTTCCCTACAGTAAATTCGTAATTCTGCTAAAATCCTTTTTAAGCTCACCTAGCATCCTTTCTCTAACATAAACAAACAAGTTTCTTCACTTGCTTTATTGTCATTTGCCAGATATGTACAGTTGTTCCTTCTCTTTCTATTTGTTTCACTTGTTAAAAAGTTAAGATATTGTTGGGATGCTTGGCTGGATCAGTCAGTGGAACGTGTGACTCTTGATCTTGGTGTTGTGAGTTTGACCCTCACACTGGGTGTACAAATTACTTAAAAATAAAATCTTAAGGGGTGCCTGGGTGGCTCAGTCGTTAAGCGTCTGCCTTTGGCTCAGGTCATGATCCCAGGGTCCTGGGATTGAGTCCTGCATCGGGCTCCCTGCTCCGCAGGAAGCCTGCTTCTCCCTCTCCCACTCCCCCACTCCCTCTCCCACTCCCATTCCCCCTGCTTGTATTCCCTCTCTCGCTGTGTCTCTCTCTGTCAAATAAATAAATAAAATCTTAAAAGAAAATAAATAAAATCTTAAAAAAAATAAAATAGTTTTTTAAAAGTTAAGGTATTTTCATGTTCTTTTTATTTTTTTCCTTTTGTGAATCAGTGGGAACATTTTCATTGATTTTTTAGTTCCTTAGATTCTCCTCAGTGTTTTGAGTTTGTTTCAGGAAGAAAGTTGGTTAGTTCCCATAATAATTTTAGACCTGTGAGATATGAAACTATATCCTGTATATGCTCACATTTCTTTATTTTTAAATCAAGAATTAATGTATTATTGTATGAGGGCATACCAAAGGTGTTAGCACCATTTTTGTGTTTTATCTATCTCTATACAATCATGTATTTATTACTTGGGAGGGTTCTTATATAGAAGGTGATTTCTCTCAGAGGGCTTTCTGAGACAAGCACAGAAGCCCCCCAAACTTTTGACTATGTAAGGGACACAGCACACTCCAGCCAGACTTCGTTTCCAGCTTACAGCAGAACCCGCCCTCTCCCTTCATGTTGCCCTTGGTCCTTGCCTTCAGACCTAGCGAACGTCCTCGGCCCCTCTCCCCCTCAGCACACTTCTTATCGTCCCTCAGCACACTTCTTTTACTCACCTTCACCTCTACTCACCTTACGTGAAATAAGTGGCCTCGTCTAATGCTTTGGTGACACACTCTAGATTCCACACCTGCCACCTGAAACTGTTTTTTCCAACTCCACTTTTCTCTCCTTCTTCCTTCAGCTTTGTAAGAAAGCTTGCTCTGGTCTCTTCTATAAGGGCCTACTTGCTTTCCCTCATGCCAAGAATCCTAGATGCTGTGCTGTCCTCCTACTTCTGTCTTTTAAGAGTTTTCTGTTTCTTCAGAAGCCAGCTCCCTTCCCTAGCAAGTGTCCCCAAGTAAACACCCAAGTGAAAACCCCTCTGTACATGTGCCCCAATAAGGAAAACAGACCTCGCTTCCCGGTTCTCCTCTCAATCTCGCTTTCTGTCTTTCCCTCTTGGATGCGTGAGCTGTAACAGGCTGATTTTGGCCTGCACTCTCCACAGGAACTACCCTTGGAGGAGCAAGTGATCCAAAAGCTCCTTACCTTGCCTGGTGCTCTGGTACCTGTGCAATGCTTTACACCCCATTTTTATATCTTCTTCTTCCCTTTCTTAGACACTCTTTTGAGGCTCTTCACTCACTTTGCTGGGGTAATATTACTCTCTTGGCTTCTCTTCTTACTCTTCCAGATGTTCCTTATTGCTCTTCTTCCATAACTCTTCTTCCTCACCTTTGTCTTAAATGCGTGTACTCTCCATTTCTTCACTTACTCGACAATCCAGGGAAGGGGTGAGGTCTCAGGGTGGGCTTCAGTGACTCTAAGAAAGCACTTGTTGTCTGGTGTCCGTCTACTTCTCTGAGCCTCACATTCTGGGACCTGGCCCCAGCCCCTCTGGATTGCTTGCTATTCCCTGAAGAGTTTATGTTCTTTCTCAGCCCTTTCCTTAGATCACAACATTCCCTCAGTCTAGACCTTTCCTGACCTCCAAGTCAGAATTAATCCCTGGTTCTGTTTTAAAACTTGGAATGTTCGTTCTTTTTGTGTCTCACCACAGGTTGGTTGGTTGTTCGTGTCCGTTCTAAGTGCTACTGGTTTGCTCCGCCAGTAGATGGTGAGCTTCTTGATTTCATTTGATTTAGATGCTTCTGGCAATAAGTGACAGATACCAAACTCTTCATGGCAAAGCATTATGGGAAGACGGGACAGAAATGGCACTGAAAAAATATCCTTCAAGAAATATTCTCAAGGTCGATTTAATAAAAATGTGTGTCCAGGTGCCCAGGCATACAGAACAGTCATGTGAGCAGAAATGCCCAGTGTTAATCAAGGAAGTTTCAAGGATTTTTGTTGGGTAATAATTAAGTGTGGCTTAGAAATATGCATCAGGCCATGCAGTGACTGGAAAATGTAAAATGGAACTCTGGCAAGATGAGTGAAGGGAGAGTGATAAATCATCTCTCTATTCTTATTTTTCACGGTGTGCAAAGTGTAGGTTTTATAGTCACAGAAACACTTTGAAAGCCCCTCAAAGACAGTGTGGTCTGATTGCAGAGTTTTGAACTTTGAATGGCTGCTACTTTTTGTACTCTTTCTAGAATGTTTGTTTTATGTTTAGTTTACCTTTATCAGTTTTCTACATCATCATGGCGTCCTTACAGAAAGGTAAAGGACAAGTTTTAAATAGTCTTTTCACTAAAACTGTACTGCATTTCCTTTTTGTAACAG